GAAGGAAGTACGAGGGGAGTATGAAGGGAGTACCAGGGGAGTACGAAGGGAGTATGAAGGGAGTACGAGGGGAGTACGAAGGGAGTACAAGGGAGTACGAGGAAGTATGGGAAGTACGGGAGTCTCACTTTTCTCCCCTTGGTAAATACACAGCTACTTCCTCTTCAATGATGAGAAAACTCTGCCTAACCTTCAATTTTTTTTAAAGAGACACCCTAAGGAGCGACTTGTACGAAGACGCTGCCAGTATAAACACTTACAACTTGAAGACGTTTCAAAGTTAATGCTATCATTTTCTCGCATGATTTTGTTTACTTGAAGATAAAAAAATAATTATGACCTTGATTGCAACCATTAATTTCTTCTTTATTTCATATTCCTAACGCTTAGACGGATGGACAACTACTCTGTATTATCAAAGATTCTTTCTGAACTGAAAAGCATCTCTATAATGCTCTATGGAGAGGAATTCAAGATATCAACTGACCTCTTCGGAACATCCAAGAGAAGCTAGTTCACAAGGAACAACACGATAAACGCATCTCTCCCGTTGATGAGTTTCTAGTTGAATTGCTAATCTGAACTCTTCATTACATTTGTTGCACTTTAATGCACAGTGCGTCTTAAGATGTTCCTAGCAGAGAAAAATTAGTACAAGGAAAAAACTTCAACAAGACAAGGTTACCCTTAGACTGGTGAACAAACCGACCCATGAATTGCCACATTCGAGACAGTTTACTTTTACATCTTTATTTTCACGTATGAATCCTTTGTCGGGATTGCCCTAAACATAGAGTCTAGTCTTAAATTAAAATCAAATAAAAATATTTATTTCGTCCTACGTGAACTGGGAAAGCAGAACAAAAACGACATTTAAGATCAGCATTTCTAGAAGAATAAATTTGTAGAAAATTTAGTCAAATACAAGGTTTAAACGGTAGCACTTCATGATATGGGTGCAAGGTTCACAGAGCCTTAGCCCGCAACAACGCAGCTGCATGCATGAGTCAAGTGGCCAATGGCAAAGAGGGCACAGCAGATACTGATATTGTTCTTGGGTCCATCTTTCTTGTTGGTTTCTTGTCAAATCATCTGACATTCCTTAGCCTGAAACATGACACGAAAACATACGTTTTACATGAAATATTTCTCTACGAGAATATTTCTACAAACAAATCACTTGAAAACAATTTTCAAATCAGAATGCAGCTGTTAACACTAGCACAAGTGAAAGACTCTTGAGGCTTTCTCACGAAATATTTTCTTCAAAGAAAAGTAAAATTGTTTTTACGTGACAATATTGCACAACAATGACCTACTTCTGAGATTTCAAATTTCTGGCCTCTAATGCCAAGCATTAGTCAATTTTCCGCGAATAATGCGTTCGTCTGTCTCCTTTGATGGTAGCCGCAGCTGAGCCTTTAAAGAACCTGCTAAGCCTGCGTGATAAGAACAGGCGAGAGCGGTTGTAAATGCAATAGTGATTGTGAGACATGAATGAGTGGCTGTCGGTGCTGATATATGGGGGAATCAGGCCCGAAACTTCATTCACATCCATGAAAGCACAGACAAAAAATGAAACTTAAGTCTGGTTGACTCTCGAAAACTTCTTGGATACGCTAGCAAATCAAAAGAAGTTTGAGTGAATCATTTTATGGTTATTTTTCACTTAATATTGTTTTTGTTGGAAACTTTCAATCCCTGTTTATTATGAGTCAGACTCTCATAATGCATTGAAAGGTGTTTTTTAAGTTGCAACTGCATTTTTATTCTTTTTGGGTGTGCGTGCGAGTGTAGTTGGGTGTGAGTGTGAGCGATGTGGGTGTAGGAGAATGTGAGTGTGGTGCGTGAGAGTGTGGGTGGATCTGTGCCTGTGGCTTTGAGTGGGTATGACAAGAAAGAGGGCACCCAAACCCATACCCTAGTAAAAAAAGGTTGGAAATGTTTTAGAAAACGGCGCAAAAAACGAAAAATGGAACTGCCTAACTATGATCCCAATCGATTGTAACCAAACATATTCTTTGTCACTTTTCGATTTCATTTTCGATTGTTTATTCCTACATAGAAAATAAGCCATAACAAACGATCTAGCTGTCACAGGTAGCTTGAGCGCACTCATATAGGAAAATTCACGCAGTTCTGATTGACCTCACAGTCGGTACTGTAATAAGGGTGTGGGTGTAGGCGTGGGTATCGACTCAAGACATCTACTTCTACATCCACAATTTCCCCACGCACCCACACTTCACCCATGCATCCACACCCCCCCCCCCCCCCCCCCCCCCCCCCCCCCCCCCCCCCCCC